CCGAAAACAACCCGCTTTCAGGATCTAAATTCTTCAGATAGAAGGCGTCAATGATGCTTGGGTCACTGTATCCGCACAGGTCTATTATCAAGTGGTCCTCCTCTTCATAAGCGTTGATATGATGGAAGACGAAGAAGGGGTCCGCAGTGAACAGTTGTGCTACCTCCTCATTGGTCTTTCGATTGACCAATCGGAACCGTGCTTTGATTGTTGGGTACCATTCCATAGCTTCTTGAACGCTCTTTCTGGTCACCTTCATTGTCATCAGTTTCAGCACGTTCATGCCCAAAGGCTGCTCGACGAGCGCGTGGTAGTTTTCCGACATTGCAAAGCTGTGGAAATATGTTGGGAACGCTTTGAACTGGCCAAAAATCTTGGCAAGAATTTCTGGTTGGGGTTTATCTTCATCTGGTTTGGGACCTTCGTTGTTGGTAATCACGTCTAAACGTGGTGGAATCTTGGACAAGTAGTAGGACGGCCTCCCGCCATACAACGTGCCAAAGTTGTAGAAATTTCCCTCGGCGTCTATGTGCGGGTGTGCAGGAGTGGCCACACTGATAAGTCGCGACATGTCGATCCTCTTCTCCGTTGTTGTCAACGTCTTTGGGTCCAACTTGGTCCAGTACTTAGTTTCAGTAATGGCGAGCAAGGCGTCCTCGCAGGGAAGAAGGTTGACAGATGGATTATCAGTTATTCTGTCGTCGGAGAAGTAGGAAAAATACCTGGAGAATATGTTCTTACAGGGATCCGGGAAGCGAACAGTACCGAATCCGGAGTGGAGGATACAGTTTGTTGACATGGCTTTGGTATAGGCCTCACTCTCAATATATCTGAAAGACAAATAATACAATGTGTTAAAAAGTTTTGGTTTAGGCTTCACTCTCAACATATCTGAAAGACAAATAATGCTGTTTGTTGACATGGTTTTGGTATAGACTTCACTCTCAACATATCTGAAGGACGAACGATACAGTTTGTTGACATGGTTTTGTATAGGCTTTACTCGAAATGCATCTGAAAGATAAGCACCGCATAAAGATATGTGAACAGCAATGCCTTAGTATAAGTTACACTCTCAATACAAACGAAAATCAAAGTTGTTGCCTGTTTCCACATGTCCTTCACCTTGCTCGCACACATCACAACTGGTCAATCAGTCGAGTGAACGAGAACCACGGCTTCAATATAATATATCATTAAATAAATAAATATTCTTGGAGAAATAAATAAGGACCGATAAATTTCCAAGAAACAGAAAACAAAATGCAGTCCACTCTCCATGTACATTGCCTTTCTTTAGCCATCGTGCCATTCAATCTTTAAGGTAACAGAGAGAATACTATATATTTTGGATGGTTGTGATCAAGTTTCATAAAGTTTAAGAGAAAAAAAAACTTTGAGTTGAGCCTTAATCCCTAGTATTTAAAAAACACAGTTTATGTTCTAATCTGTTTCTCTAAATCCAGTGTAAATAATTTCCCTGGTTATACTAATTTTTGTTACAGTGCATGACTAAACTGCACCATAACCGTCTACATCTTCAGACAAACAAAACTTCAAACTTAAGTAAACATTAGAAACAGTTTATCATTACTTACTTGCTGTGAAATTGTACGGTGCCCTGTTCTATGGTGAAGCTATAGACCATTGCCAGACCATCAAAGAAATGGCGCATCCTGTAATTCCCCACTTCAAACTTGGCTGGAGCAACACGATGTAGAGAGCCGCTGAGATCCGCAGGGACTGTGCCTGAAACGAAGCAATGTCAGTTTTCAAAACAACCAAGGTACCAAGGTAGATTTACGTCTGTTAAGCCTCTCTTCTGGTCCTCAAATCAAGTTCGGTCCCTTGATTCTAAACTGTTTACCAGAGGCTCTGTTCTGGTCCTACACCTGTAAATGTCCATCATGACGTGTTCAAACGTGTTCCCCAAACGTGTCCTTGGCTGACTCTCTTTTGGGCCCCAAACTTTTTCTGCGGTATAGCCTTCATTTGGAAACCTGCCAGTATGACGTTCGGGGGAGGGGAGGGGATTAATTACTTGCAGTTAAGCAACTCAGCTAACGGTCATTTGGTTGATTCGCGAGATCAACAGACTAGCTGACTGTTATTTCACAGCATAAATTGAAAGATATAAATTGCAGAGTAACCTTGTGTCGCAAGGATACTACTTATAATTATTTATTCCCTTCATGCTCCCTCCCCCCCTCCCCGGGCACTTGTAATTGATACTCCGTATCTTGATTAATGTGGAAGAATCGAAAGATGAAAAGAGCGCCCAGACATGCCTTTGACAGGTCAGGTCACGAAGTAACGGATACGGCATCTCAGGCCACAAAATATGGCTTCACAGGGCAGTAAACAAACTCGAGAAATTTCCCTCTCCGACAATATTCCGAGCATATATGGTCACCCTGCTTCCTACATGTCTTTGCAACAATTCAATATCATTATACTGAATTCTATTACTGTTCTATTACTGATATTATTTTCAACCATCTCATAAAATTTGATATTTGAAGAAAATTTTATTGCAGGATTTTACAATATCACTACTTTACACCATTGCTATTATATGGCGCAGAGTACAGGTTCCAAACAGGTATAGCTGCAAACAGTAAAATTGTTTGATATTAATAAAAATATAAACAATAATTTAACTATTTATTATTGCCAAGATGTGTTTTTTTTATAACACTCTCCTCTAGTTCGGGACATTTACAGAATGCCTTAACCTCTCTCTCTCTCTCGTCATAAATCAAAGTCTCTGACATTTAACATTAGTATTTAAATTCAGGATAATTACAGAAATGTGTGAACATGATATTAATTCGAGAAAGGGTATTTTATAGTGTTTGTAAATGTTACAAAGGAAATTACCAAAAATATATAGCTTTCCATATTGAGAAGACATGTTCCTCTACTCCCCCTCTCCAGATTTCCTGGCCCGAGGAGCAATATGTTTGTCCTAAGCTCTGAAGCTCTGAACGCGCTTGATAGAAACCAGATGTGGAGATAGTGAGGTTTTATTGCCGGAGCCAGACTACCGACTTTCCAATATTGAAATAAGTGTGGGCCGGGGGGGGGGGTATATATATCTTCTTAACCGATCAAGCTAGATATAGTCACGAAACAAGATAAAGTATATCAGTAGAAAGGCTCAACTTGACTTTTTTTTAATTTCAAATCGTTATTTCATAACATAATAGTTGCTATGCCCTTATGCTCTCCCTCCCACCCTGAAATATTCATTTTTTTCATATGAAAGATGAGAGCGTAAATTAACTTATCCCAACCGCTCACGTTTTGCATAACGTTTTTATTAATGTTTCATATTACTTTTAATAACTGCTGACTGCTTTCCCTGTTAGAGGGTACAATGACATTAACCAGTGAAAGTAATGGAACGTGTCATATATTTATTCCGATATTAATCTAAATATATGTGGCTCACATTTTCACTTTTTGTTGAAAGTTTTCTCACATCGAACTTAATTAATTGGGTTGGAGTGTCTACATCTGTAGCGGTGTTTTAAAGGGTCATAAAGTGACCAATTTGTGAGATAGCGTTATGCGGGACTTAGGTAACTGTCATATAAACGGAAAATAATATACTCGAGATTGATTCACAACTCTGCCTCCGGTCGAATGCAAGCCCGTAAGGACCAACCAAAATTAAATGCCCGTGTCTGGTGCGGGTGCTCTGTTTTCGTGGTTCTCTTACATAATTGCGCGGTGCCTCGTTAATCTGGCAACAAATGTCGCTACAGATGAGATGCAAATAAAACGTACCATGGCCCATAGGAGCCTACGCGTGCGTCTTTTAGACGCCCCTTTACATGCGAAAACGACAAGGCCTATGCCGAGTTCGTCTTTTACTACAGAGCTTTGAGAGCCGATAATGACATGGCTGTGCCTCTTTCGCCACTTACTGAACTCCACAGATGCGAGATTGACACGACCCATGTCGCGTTCGTCTCTCAAATGACACTGTTATAAAACATGAAATAGGCATAACGTGTGATTTTCGCAGCTGAATAAGTAGACCCTTATAAACGAAGTTGACGTAACTTGAGAGTCATGTCGCTTTCAACTCTTACAAACCTCCAACAAAATCTATCTCCACACAGACGCGCGCGACATATACTATTGGACATGGGTCAGTTGAAACCCTATTAACCTAAAGGGCTCATGTTACTTTATATGTCAAATCCAATTAATTTGAAACAGTGTTTTGCTGTACCAAAACATTTTCTTTCATTTGAATCCCATCATAATTTAGTGCTATCTAGATAACAGTGTGGCTAATTGCTTGTAATAATTATATGGCCTCATATTTTTATTTTCAAGGATTCAAATATAAAGGGTTTTAAGACGGTCCTTCTGTTTCAAATTAATTGGCTGAAAGTAACATGAGCCATTTAGGTTAATGTCGCTTTCAACTGACCCATGTCCAATAGTACATGTCGCGTGCGTCTGTGTGGAGATACATGTAGATTTTGTTGGAGGTCTGTAAAAGTTGAAAGCGACATGACTCTAAGGTAACGTCAACTTCGTTTATAAGGGTCTACTTATTCAGCTGCGAAAATCACACGTAATGCCTATTTCATTTTTTTTAACACTGTCTTTTGAGAGACAAACGCGACATGGGTCGTGTTAATCTCGCATCTCTGGAGTTCAGTAAGTGGCGAAAGAGACACAGCCATGCCATTTTCGGAACTCAAAGCTCTGTAGTAAAAGACGAACTCGGCATAGGCCTTGTCGTTTTCGCATGTAAAGGGGCGTCTAAAAGACGCACGCGTAGGCTCCTATGGGCCATGGTAAAAACGGTATAATGATCGACGCGAAAATGCCTTTAGTCTGTTTTGATGTTTTCCATGTACACAAACTGACCCCTGGAAACCACAAAATTTTCTTTAATGCCCGAAATCTGTGAATTTAAATACTCGATCCCCACCATTAAAAGTGCCACCGACCCTCACATTGACTGCCTCTCATGTTATACAGTAGAGCACAATTCAAATTAATTTAAAAGAGACAAACCTGGCTGGTAATTTTTTTTTTTTTTATTACAGAATCGGGATTCTTAAACATAGATTTTGTCTCGACTCCAGGGACGTCTCAATTTCTTTTTCTAAATGTACATTATCTTTGGATGGTTATTTTAAGTAATCCGATGTTGATAATTTCGATTCCTATACATTATAGTAGATGTGCAAGATCAAAATTCAGGCCAGGGCGCTGTTCTGAATCTTTCCCTTGAAGTGGTAAATTGAAACGGGGATGTTAGCCTTTAATTTTACCCAAGGGAGTACGGCGTTGTATAACAGTAAATTGCATTGGTATGCATACTTATACTACGTAGTTATACTGGATCTGTCCTCTACCATTAGTCGATCAAATCGCCACAATGTCTTTGGTCAGATCACTGGGTTTTCATGATATTCCCTTCACTGTACGCTCTTAAAGCAATACAATTGGGATGCTAAGTTGTCATCCTGTAGCAAAACATCACTTGAACAATTATCCGAATGATATGGGATATATAGCTTGTGAAGGCCTAGGTATAAATACCAACAATGTATGCAGCACATCTCTAAACCAGCCCCGTCAATCAAACACACATTATGGTCAGTTGCGTGTTAGTTTAATTGCAGTCAAACAGGCAAATAGGCTTTAATTACGAATATATTGCGCGTTTATTAATAAACTTTGTTTATTTTAGAACCGCTGATTCGAAAATAATATAATCCATTTCTACTACTTGCACAAAACGCCTACATTTTGGCAGTTTTATAATGACCATACCTAAACCCTAAATACTGAAAATTGAAAAAAAATTCTGAAAACAAAACGCGTAAAAGAACAAAGTAGCTAGACTATCCTTCATAGGGAGCTCTTTACTTAAATTGCAGTATTAATAGATTTATAAAACGTATGCAGTAAAAATCCATTATAGGCCTACTGTGCCTATATAAGGGACTAAGTTCTGATTTAAGCTCTGAATCACTATAGTTCCTGACAGTACAGTGGACATTTAGGAAATCCACGGGAATGAACGCGTCCATATGAAAATAAGAGCTTATACTAACTTGAAACGGAATAAAGAACGCACGGTCATGACAGTGAGTGATTAGCCCCCCACCCCCCCACACACATGCACACAATCACCCACGAATGTAACTGTCTTGAAAACAAGAAGCAGAGAACGCCATAAATATTGTAGTAGTATTAAGCATCCTAAAGTTAGTCACGCAGCAAAACTTTTGTGTTCTTTAAAAAATATGAGAATATATTATAGCAAATATAATACAATTTTAAATAATTGAAATGCATTTCTTTCTAACATTCAGTTTACGTACGTTTTTTGGTAGCCTCTCAAAGTTTTAAACCTCAAATATTGGAGACCATAATAGAGTCAGCCAAGGACACGTTTGGGGAACACGTTTGAACTCGTCATGATGGACATTTACAGGTGTAGGACCAGTACAGAGCTTCTTGTAAACAGTTTAGAACCAAGGGACCGAACTTGATTTGAGGACCAGAAGAGAGGCTTAACATACGTAGTCTTTGACATTGTCTTTGCAGACCTCCCGTTTGAGAGTTTCGGTGCTTTAAATGTTTGAGACACTTAAAATATTGACTCTGTTAAGTTGACTGCTCCCTTCTTAAAAACTATATCAATGCAATTTATTTACTTCAGTTTCAACATATGTACTGAAATAAGTCAATTTCAGGTGCGTAGTTTTTTACCCCCCCCCCCCCCTCCCCATTGCTTATCTTAAGTTTTGGATGGTATAGGTAAGGTGGAGGAACATTTTTTGACAAAACTTTCGATTTATCAGAATCTTGACAACGTTGTCAAGCAGTCAAGTGTCTTCTCTACCACAATTACAAATGATTTGGACACAAGACTCTAAAGCATTCGTGTGTGTGTGTGTGTGTGTGTGTGTGTGTGAGAGAGAGAGAGAGAGAGAGAGAGAGAGTTGTTATCCAATAGAAAAACCTTAACTCATTCACTGGTTGTCAAGCTTATATAGTTAAAACTGTAAATCGCTGGCAGACTATAAAATCGTGATGAATATCGTGTATGCATTCAGATGTCTTAATGTGGTTCTCAGAAATGTCCCGGATGAGTAGAAGCCAATTTTGAGGACAAGATGTTCAGAAGAGGAAAACAAGTGATAGCATCTTTAATTTTTTTTCAACAAAAGCCAACACGAATTCTTGGAAACGTAAGCGAAATTTGCAGTATAAATACATGGTCACTGTATCAGATTGAAAACAAAAAGAAAAAAATTATTCACTGAATTACTCTTAGGTCCTCGACAGTCAAAACTCTCCACCTAGACTCCGCCCCTCCCGTCCCCGTTGCTGATCTTGCCCTGCCAAGAGTCATCTCCACAGCGTGAATGAAAATCATCCGGGCTTGGATCGTCCCATTACCCCATAACCCCAGTGTAAACGTGGCTTCACACCTCCTCTGGCATGTACAGCCGGCGGCGGCGGACAGAGAACAATTTGACATGATTAATGACTTTTTAAAACCCCAAAACACATATAAATCTTCGGTCACTTGCACTTCAGTTACCTAATGTCTTCTATGTTGTCAATATGCACTTAATTGACCTTTCATTTACACTTGTTTAATTGACCTGTTATCGTTATGATTGCGTTTATCGATCTTTCACAGAAATCTGTCCATTTACTGTATGGTGGTGATGTTTCCATTTAATAATAAATGTTTGTTTTTTGTCGCCTTCAGGGACGCGAGGTGAAAATTAGCTGTTCACCAGTTGGTGATTCGAGGACATTGTTGAAGGTTCCCGAAAAAATTGCCAAAATTCCAAGTATTTAAATGAAACAATGCATTCACCCAGTACTATCCGAAGTATCGCAAAATGCCGTAAAATCACACGAGAATTTTGGGACTTATTCGAGAGTGTGGTCAAGATCAGAATGAACATTTCAGATTTCAACGCCAGGAAAAGCTTGTTGAACTTTTAATCTTATAATTGCAATCAACTAGAGTCTCCACGAACTACCTACGATAGTATCACTGTAAATGCCCCTAGTTAACAAAAACAACGACCCTCGTGCCGGTGTAACAGGAATGGAAGTCGGCTAGAAACCGTCGTCCGTTCTCATTTACTTTGTACAGGTGACATCCGTCCCATATACCAACCCTAATACTCCGACTAACCCTAACATGTACTAAGCATGAGTAACCCCGAACTTCCATTCCTAAGACTACCATTCTTGTTAGTCTTGTTACACCTGGCAAGTTTTTATGTGCGCTCTGCTAGGGAGAGGGGTGAACTGATTGGAGTAAAGTGACCTTCACTGACCGCTAGTCTAGGTGTAAACAGTCAGTGGTCAGTACAGTTAGTTTGATGGCCGCGCCCCCGTTGGACAGCAGACCTAATCCCAAGTGGTCCCTCCTATCGCCATATTATGTAAGGTGAGTCTCGAGCTGAGCTAATCGCAAAAACTACGTCTGCTGAGATGTACCGCATTGTGTTTTCTGGACCCCACTGGAACCGAGAAGGGGGGGGTTACGGGGGGGGGGGGGTCAGGGCATTTGGCCATGTCACGTCACATCGGTCTTAAGCATAGGGAAAAGCGATCTACGGAATCCTGTACACATACGTTGGCCATTTTAATATTTCGTCGCTTGCCAAGACCCTAGACAACAGATATTCAAGCTCAAGTAAATAATTTTGCTGTTATTCTACGTACCCCTACCGTTATTTACATTTCTTTGATAAGTTGTCCCTCTCTCTTCATTTTTTTTTAATTTTCTTTTTTTATTTTATTTTATTTTATTTTATTTTTTGCGAGGGTATATGACTTTTGTACCCAACAATATAGAACGCGTCAATATGCAAAAGCCAATTCAGACAAGGATTTCTTTAGGTCGGTCGTTTGGTGAGTCACATCAATCTGAGCTTCGGTTAAAATGGTCCTTGTCCTAACTGTCTCCATACGGCTGTGAAAATTATCAAACCGAGAATGGAACGGTTTTTAATCAAGTGAAGACATAACTCACCACGCTGCAATAACAGTTGACGGTTTAATTATTTGGAGAACACATAGTTGAGTAAACACGTGTGCTCCGTAGGTGTCATGAAGTACCAATATTACGTCAAGGATTCTTATTTTGGATCCTAGACTACATCAAAACCTCTTATTGTCTAATACCTCTAAGCTAACATGTCATCTAACAAATTTTCTGATCATCTAAGTACAGCTATAAGAATGAAAATCTTTAAAATTTTGTCAGCATTAACACCGTCATAAAGCACCTAAGATGAATTATTCCTCAGCCCCAGAACACTATTTGGCGATATGAGCCAGCCATTCTGTGGATAGCATATGGAACGTTTCCTTAGTATTATCCTTGTATAAGCCGCCTGATGGACTTTTTACGTTATCCTTTGTTTTCACCGACGCGTGTAAATTGTTCGGTAGAACAATCGGAGCTTTGTTGACTTTTTCTCTGTCCAAACTTGCCGAGTGCCTAACCTGCCCAGAGTTGTGTATTTTAACAGGTTCGAAAGAGGCATACTCGTCTAAATCTTCATCAAACACTCTGTAGTAATATTTTTTGGCTAAGCTGTCTCTGATTTCGAGACAGGTCACGTTTGACTCGGCTATTGAGACGCTGTCCCTATCTAAAAAGGGACTCGACGGTTCTGATGTTGAGCGTCCTTCGCTCTCCTCAAAAACTAGCGTCGTTATCGTTGGCGCCCCCGCCGACGTACTGTGCGCAGGAGTACTGTCACTTTTCAGTTTAGCCGCTCTGTACTTAGCATAGTCTGTGAAATAACCTCCACCCGAACTGCTATTCTCATGTTTAACTTTTACCTCCTTCTCATCATCCAAAGTAGCGTTTTGGGAGCACTCTCTTCCCAGAGAACATACACAATACATCGTCCAGGAAAATATAAAAACTGCGGGGCCTATTAGAATTCCTAGAAATCCAAATCTTTGTCCAGCTGGCCCTACACGTCCTCCAAGTATCATTAATAGAAACGGAACTCCGACAAGTAGCATCCCGGAGAGGACGAAAATTAAGAATACCCATCGCCCGCGGAGTCGACTGTTTTGTTCCCACTGTATAAATCGTTCTTTAAACCTCATGGCGGCGCTAGGTCTGCCAGAGCGCGTGCGGTCTGAGGGTTGGTTGCGTCGTTGCATTCAACCTGCGTCTTCTGGTCCGAGTCGTGTCGTCTTCCTCTAAGCACGTTTTGTGTTGTACGTCAACTTTAAGACGAGAGCCACGCGGAATGCGCTGTGTTCAGAGCCGCAAACCCTCTTGTCTTTTACCTATTAACTGCTGACGCCGCTTTATCCACTAGAATGAAAGAGGACAACAGTATATATTAATAATAAATCTTTACAACAATGGAGGTTCAATAATTTACTTTTATCAGACAAGTGACATGTGACAGAAGCATGTAGGTGTGTATCTTAAAAGGTAGAAAAAAAGTAAACCATTGATTTTGAAGCTTGTGCTAATCCCAAGTTTACAATTCATTATATATAGTCTGCCACATTGCCCGGGTTTTCGCGTCTGTTCCCTGAAATAAAGGAAATGAGAGTACGCTCAGGTTTCAGCTAACAGGTATGCGGGGTCTACAATCAGCCAGTCAGCAGTGTCGTCTGCCACACTGCCCAGTTCCTAGGTGTCCTGCCCCTGTAAGGGGGGGGGGAGTGAGAGAACGCTCACATGGCTTGTTTGTGTCCACACACTGTCTGCGGTACTGCCGCCAAGAACAAGAAAAAGACTTCCGGTGGAGTGGGAGAAGGAAACAGCTAATACTTTACAGATATCCCAAATAAAAAATACATTTTAATAATATCTGGGGGTCGTGTGCCCCCCCTCGGCAATCCCCGTCCCTGGGGGAATCTTGTTTCCCTTTTGGGGCATGTTGGTGAGAGGATGGGTCGGCCTTATTAATTTCAACTGTTCTAAGGGATTTATTCTTCCAACTTAAATACTTATTTAATTATTTATTTATTGGTCTCCCAAGCTGTTCTTAAAAGCCCTTACTCCCCGGTCATAAAATGTGTTTCCACAGACAAAATTTTGGTTCGACTCAAGTGCGCGCCAAGATCAGGTCAATAAATGCAAATGGAGATATATTTACTCTTTGATTGTACTGCAGTCGTGAGAGAAAATGAAGACGAGGGATTCTCTCTCTCTGGTTGATCCAAATAGTCCTTTACACGAATCTTAACGCAAGAGATAAAATAAGTCAGTACCGTGTGTAAATAATTAATAATAATAAAATATAGTCGCTAACCATTTTGCCAAATGCAGGCTCTGTCTTACGATCCATTGATGTTCATAAACGTGCCAAATGCAAAAGTTTAAACGTATTTCATCTACAGCGTGTCGTGCCCATGCATATTCATGTAACTCTGCTGGCAAATGCAGGATATTCCAGAGAGGCTCAGGCCAACACAGCAGTCTGGTTGACTTTGCATTACCAGGTTATAACACATGTATCTGTAGGCGTCAGAGATCAGGACCGGAGACTGGGGGAAATCATAGAAATGCTGTTCAAGTGTTATATACACAGCCAAACATATTATTCATATTGCTTGTGGTGCTGACCTAGACGCTTAACTTAAGGAAAATGTATGTAGCTTCTGGTGGACTGGGATAAAGGAATAGAAAAGGCAGACACGTTATAAAGACACCCCCCCCCCCCAAAAAAAAAAAAATTGTTTTTCAAAACTTTCTGATCCCTTGGAGTGCAGCAATCCCCAGAGATCAACCAATGGACTTAATTGAAATTATTCCGCATACGGCCTGTTCCGTATACAGCCGGTTACCTTGCAAAACCAAGACCTACTACTGCATATAGATTAAAATGGGGCTCGTATTATTATTATTATTATTATTATTATTATTATTATTATTATTATTATATGCGTTCTATTTTTGTCGTCTGGTGAAGTTGAATGCCGCAATGCAGTCGTGTGTTTGACCTTGATGCCCTTGGCTGTGAAGAATTTTACCAAGAAGGACTATCTTGTCTTACTTCAGTGATGTTGATATTAACCTAAAAACGCCCTCAAAGGAGGTAACAAAATTCGGAGAAACCAGTCGCGATCAATCATGAAAACACTGGGAGCTTGGAACACAGCGGCACACGGGCACAGAGGATGCGGATCCGTGTTTGTCTTCTATCTCAAACCATCAGTGCCTTCATTGCCCTGTTAGATCTCCGCTGTTTTTATACATTCTGGATTTTGCCATTATAGGATTTCTTCAATCTCTCCGCCACACTGAGGACCTCTTATCTCCTATTCCTTCGTGACGTCGTTATCGGTTTAGATAGTCCAAAAGATGGACGGATACATTAAAGTGTTCAAGACACGTTAACTCCATTTTTCGAATTTCGTAAACCCAGCACTCAATCTGCACACTAGAGATATGAATAGTATAAAAACAACTTCTTAGTAGAAAACTAAGGCGTTTTAAAAATACCTTAACCGAATATGCAAAAAAATAGCGACATATCTGGGTCACGTGGTACTGTGACGACATACATTCCAAGGGCCTTTGCTTCAGCTGAGTTATATACTGAATACAGTGGAGTTAGGGAAGGCTACGTGGAACGGAGATGACCAATTTTCTTTTTGCCTAAGTGTGCTGCCGTGGGATGCATTAAAAAGTAGCAAAGGATCTGGCGCTCGTTGACGATCTTGTTACTTTGTGATGGCGTTCCGTGACTTTCTTACTAACGTCGGTGACAATAGATGTGATGAGACTTGTTGATGCAACTTAAATGCCCGGTAGTTGACCAAGAGCTCGTTAACAATTAAATTTGTTAATTACGCACTGCGGAGGATGGACCAGCAAAGATTATTTGGAAAAACTGTCAGAAAATCTGGATCCGCTCCTGCTTGGCGATCGGGGGCTCTGTGCACTGCCGTAATAGCATCAGCGGTTATCTGTACTTCTCAGTGTTCCCTAAAGACCATGTGCAGCATCGATCCCGAGTGTTCTCGTGTTCCCTCCCTATCACCCCGTAGACTTTTATGTTGTTTTTCCGGGGGTATTGTACATTATAGCTAGCCATTTTGATGGCATATTTTTTAGAAATGTTTCAACTGGTTTCTGTAATCAAATGCTTCATACATTTAACGATAAAGAAAAGTCAAATTTGCCACTTAGTTATTTGTTCCAGAGATACATATGATGATATGTAGATCAAACTAAAGTGTGTGTGTCCCTTTAATGTTTATTTTAAATAACGCAATCAATAGCTTGTGGCTACTTTCACGGTGTCGCCCGGCATAAAAAATCGTGACTTCTTTTGTCGCAGGTCATAATCAATATTCTTAGCCATTTAAAATATCTTTCAGAAACATCCATAATTTGCAGACGATATGGTGACGATATGTTGTACACGAAACACGGCAACACTGCATTCTCTTACAAAGTAATTTGCAAAATCTTTTTGTTACCAGGCATTGTGAAAATATTCTTGAAGTTAAGGACAAATTCATCAGTAAATTAAACATGCATATCGTAATACCTTTTAAGTGCGTGTCGTCTGAGTTTTTAACCTTAATTTTGTTGACATTATACAAAAGGGTTGTTATTCTATTTTCGTCACTCTAACCATATGTTTCCTTGCTCTAACCATCGTACTGAATATGAACTTTGAGCCAAGGCATGTATCGATAGATATTTGCATGATTACACACAAAAAATAAATTTATCGGTTTCTTTTACCAGAATTTTAGAAATATTGAAATTTGCGAATGTGTTTTTAACTTTATTTTTCATTTTTCTGTTTACCTTGAATGGACGTATATATTGAGTATATATTTTTATACCAGTAAATATAGTCGTAATTAAATGCTAGTTCATTTTATTGAAATGACAGCAAAATGGTTTCACATGCCTTCACGAGTGTTTAAATCTCTAGGGTAAGAGAGGTGAATGTACGTTGTACGATTAACATTTCCTTAATTACCACTCATTATGCAAATGTGGCCTCGGTGACCAGATCTCGTGAACCGTTCAAATGTCCACGTCTCATAGATGAAGTATAGAATAGGTTAATCTGAAATCTCGGTTGATAATTTTGAGTAACCTATAAATCTGTGGTCAAAATGAATATAAACGTTCGCTTTAATTGCTAACTGAACAGGCTATGCATATGAAAGTATTTCAGTCTATGTCTGCAGGGTTACTGAAACTGTCACAATCTATATTGCTAGGCAGTGTGGCGGACACTCACAAGAGTTCGTACTGAGAGTCAGTTCCTGCTGTTTGAATCAGGGGAATAAAGTGGTCGTTTTACGTTTATTACAATTAAATGTGAGCCCGGGAATGTCTTTATTGACAAATATATTATTATTATTATTATTATTATTATTATTATTATTATTATTATTATTATTTATTGCTGCTTCCGCCGCTGTCGCCGCTGACAGAAACAAGGACCATATCTCCTCCATTTACTTCCATCACTTGATCCACATGTTAATAGCACAATATATATGCGCCAATGGACTGTGGAAATAACTGATTAGCCTAATGATATCGATGAAGGGTGGTGTATATCACTGCGACTGCTTAGAACCTTCACTGGCTCTAAGGACTTTTAAAGTATTCAGAAAATGTAATAAAAATAATATTTATCTAAATAATATTTACCTATAGCAGTACTGCGTGACAACAACACAAACTTACATAGTGCCTGTCTCTTTATCGTGTCACCCCCACACGGAAAATTGTTACTATCCACCCCCCCACCCCCCCAGTCTGAGAGAGAGAGAGAGAGAGAGAGAAAGAGAGAGAGAGCGAGAGAGGGAGAGAGAGACTGGAAATTGCTTCCGTACGTGTTATTTGCACACGGCGAAGATTGAGTACCTTTAATGACAGTGACGCCAACTTACCTAACAACAGATAGTTTAATTTGTGCGAAACGTACCACACAATGTCACACGAGCAGTTTGACTCACCACAAAGTAATATATTCGTCTTGTTACGAAACACGCGTTCTCTTTGTAGCAGCCGTTTATTGTTTGCTGAGCCTATAAAAGTTTGCTTACGAAAGAAAGTCACGTTTATTATACCATGTCACCGGAATTTACTGCTTTGAAATTCAACAATTTCCTTCACATTTAAGAGAGAGAAAATGCTCTTGCAAGGTTTGCCTCGACGCCGCACGCCTGGTGGTCTAACCGCATCCGTCAGAGGTATTGACAGGCCATTTTTTACGATGATTAATCAAAATCTCTCCGTGGATTATATCAGCCTTGCTTGATCAAATTTGTAGTGGTTTTTCGATATTGACGCCGACAGAGCCAACTTGTTAGCGTTTC